TTTTTTGTTAAAAATAAAGATTTTGACCTGTTTTTTTTAAATGTAGTTTCATTTTTATTATTATTATAATTAAGTTGTAATGCTGAATGTTTTCTATTGCAAAAGGAGCCTCCATGCAGGTATGAAAAACAACTCTATTCTTAGACTTTACACAAACTGAGCTTGGTTTGCAATGAATGCAATAAAACTTGGAGTCCACTTGAGAGAAAATGTTTTGCACAAAGTTTTTGGACATGTTTAAAATCAAGTGACAAAATTTTGAAGATCGAAGATGGGATGATACTTAGAAGAGATTGGTAGAAAAGATTGGTTTCTCATCTGCCTTCACAAAGAACTAAAAATCATCCACTGTCCCATTTTGCTCTGCTGTGAACACTGCCTGTCATCCAATTAATACAAGTCTGTATTGTTTTAAGGGTACTGTTCAAAGTTTTCAATAAGATTGGAMCTTTGAAGATGTATTGCGACCTTAATACACCTGACAGTGTCAGCTATTTCAAAAATCAGTATCGGCCAAAMTCTAATGAGGTTTCAAAAGTCACAGGTCTGTCCATGCAGTCAACATATTAGTTAGAATTTTTGTTACTTTTCAGAATAAGATTTTATTTTTTTAAGATCAAAAAATTCTCTATTAACTGTTCTGTTTGAAGTTTTTCATCTGATTAACTCCTGTGCTACACTGCTTCTCTTCACTCATCTAGCCATTATTTTCTTTTCCTTCATTGCCTCCATCCATGACTTGAGTAGCTTCAGTTTTTGTATTTTTGAACACTTTGCTTGCCTTCTGCTTCCCACCTTTACTTACACTATTTCACCCTTTATTGCTCTTTTGCTTGCCTTCTCTGTTTTAGCCTCTCCTTCTCTGACAGCCTGTTGTAACACGATTAACATTTCCCCACCGTGGCTGGTTGCTGAACACAGCTTCAGCACCTTTTCCTGCCTCAGCCTTCCACTCTCMCTTTCTTTTTTCTCCCTTCTTAGTTTTTTTCCCTGCTTTCCTGGGTTAAAGAAAAGCAGAAATTAGCCCCAGACCTCGTAGACGTGATTGGTATCAAATTGCACCAAAAATGGAAATGCCAATAAAATTGACGAGCCTTCTCCCTCATTCTCCCCTTCTAGGAAAAGTAAGTGTGAATAGGTCAGACTTAAAAGTGTAAAGGAAAAGAAGAGAAACAAATAGGGATGTGTTAGTGTTCCCTGTCTGGTTTGAGTTATGGGGGATAAAAGTGAAAGCAAGAGAAAATGCTGGTGAGCACACATWGTTATGTTTTGTACTTTTACTTTTGTGCTTTCTCACATGAATTTTCCCATTTCCTTCTTTTTTTCTCTTTTCTTCTTATGATATTTCACCTTTTTCTCAAGCTTGCACACTTACTCTTTCGCTCTCTGAGCTGGTTCTCTGGCCGTTTGCTTCTGTTTTCCGAACTCGCATGGGACAAGCCCCTAAGGTTTGTTATTGTAGGCTTTGCTGAACATGAGCCGGTCTTTACAACGGATTGAAAGCATTTGCTTCCAATGAAAATCTGGTCTTAGATTACAGGGCCTCGGCTCACCTCACCCGTCTTTTTCCAGCAGGCAGCTGGGAAGAGAGACAGAAGGGTGGGTGTATTTTAGCCCTAAAACAGTAGGAAGAAAAAAAACTCCACTCACTTGTTAAACTCAGGCTGTATTTGTCCCAGGCTAATGATGTAATTGAAGCTTGCAATGTGAGCGTGTATTCAGGACAGAGAGAAGCTGAGAGGCTGGTGACCGTTCTCAGTGTTTATGTGTTGCTGTGTGTGTGTGTGTGTGTGTGTGTGTGTGTGTGTGTGTGTG